TTAAAACAATAATCATATTTATTCCAACTAAACTATACATACTGAAGTGTTTGTACTACACATTATACACAATAATATTCAAAATGATAACTAGAAAATTATCTACATGGTGTCTCAAAAAACATTGCTTCAATTATATTGTCTGCCCAAACTTTATTAGATGCCTTTGAACAAAGACCATTAACACTATAGATAGGAATCTCATAAGCAAAAAGTGAGAAATTTTATGCATTGATTATGAATAATGGCTCCTGTCCACCTCATAGAGGGGCTCAGCTAGCCTGAGAAAGAAAAAATATGTCTTCGTCTTCCTATTTTGTTCTTGTCTGCAGGATTCAACATAAGATAATGAAAATTATTTTGACAACATTAAGATAAGGACAGAAAGATGAGTAATATTTTTCAAGTGACTTTAAAAAATAGATTGGCGACAATAGTGATGCACTTTTTGGTTGGTCAGACCTGAAATATGGAGGTGAACCCGCTTATCTTGTTTTCCCCAGCAGTTCTATGCATACTATGTCACTATATGTCAACAATCATACATGAAACTTTATAGGTCGGTACCTTGGATATTAACTATTAGAATCCGTCTCAGATTATTTAGATGTTGTAATTAAAATAACAACTATCTAACCTAACATCAGGTAGGCACTTCGAAGGCGCAAATTCATTACTGCATGGGAAACACCCTTCAGAATTATAGCTATTCAGTCACTTGACCACGAATAACATTCCGGAAACAGCAGCCATTTTTGAGGACTATTGTCGCCACTCTGTTTTATATTGTCTAATTTTTCCAAACTCAAAGCTAGCTGAACTCCTCTATTAAACAATCTTGAGTTGGAATCAATATGGCATACAATGATATATATATATTATAGTTCGATAAGGGCACTGGAATTGTTTCTTTTTGTATTTTCAATATGTACCGGAAATCACAAATTGTAACAATCTATTCATTGTGAATTGGTCCAATACTTTTTTGCAGTACCCATATCAGTCTAGCAAACACAAAATGTCCAAGTCTAAAAACTGGAGTAGCCTAATCGAATTTGAAATTTAATCAAATGCTATTTTAAATTTGATGTGAATTCAATGTACGACATAATATATACTTCCAGCAACATGAAAAACAGAGTTTTCCCTGTCACATATTTTTGAGGCTAGTCTATAAACAGACATTTTCCAGAATACACCAGGGTCACGAATCAAACTCGATTGAGAAGAGGGGTGTGTTTTTCATGCCATCGAAGAAATTCCGCACTGATTGATGCGTTTTCTGCTGGAATTTATGATGGAACCGATGGTGCAATGGAAGCAAAACAAAGAACATGACTAAAAATGTGTCAATTGTCATGTCATATCCTCCAAACCGCTGTATTCTCTCAAAGCACATTGAAAGTTTACATTTTATAACAACAGTTTGATAAATTTCCATCAACATTTCAGCGGAATTTTGCCACAGTTCGATAATTTCTTCGATTCATGCACATGGAAAATTGTTGGAATGAAAAACACACTCAAACCTAGGAAATGTAAGTCGTTTAACTTTTGGAATTTCACATTGACAAAACTTTAGAGGTACTGGAATCAAGTATTTACGTTACATCCACTTTATACTGTGATAGATTGTAATCAATAGTTGACGATACAAAGATTCACTCACGCCAATAATTTTGACAGTTTCTTTCTACTAAAGGAGAGAGACATAGCCATCTGTTGGAGTTTCCCAATACCATTGATGAGGACAACGAGCCTATGCTCTCAGACAGACATTAACTATTTATAATGTTTATGATCTTTGCTTTGAATCACTAGAGTATTCCATTTACTTCGTTGATTGCGTCTTTTTTACTGTCTTTACGTCATTCTTTTAAGTTCAAGCTAAAAAAATGACGCGAGAAAACAAATAACCGTGAAAAAAATTACCAAGAATAACTCGAATTATGCTAACCCGAGACTCGACCATTACCAGTCATGTAATTTTTTTCGCGGTCATATTTTACACGGTTTTATACCGTTTTCATGTAGTTCAATAAATAAAATAGCTGAAAATTGAATATGAAGCGTTTTTGACGCGCTTGAAAATTGCATCAACATTCAATAGCGATATTTGTTCATGTTCCTTGGATAGTGAAAATGTGGTGGTCCCGACTGGGAATGGACATGCATTGATAGGAATAGTTGAGAGTAACTCCATCAAAAACAGTTATCTTCTATTACTGCCAGATTATCAACTTTTGCATATTTTGTGATATAGGTAGGTTACTTAGCAGAGCAGTTACAATGAGATTTGGAGATCAAAAGAAATCCCGAGGGTGGTCACAAGTTTTTCAATATTTCAAGAATAATGTTCAAATTTCGCTATCATATCACTGGATTATGTTTTATTCATCCTGGTTGAATCAATTGTAAAAGTATCATTAAATAAAAAAAGATTTTTTCAAGATAATTACAAATCATGAGTTCACAACAAGACATACATGCCTTTGAGGCAGAACGATTTGTTTCAGTACGGAACCCTAATCTGGTTTTTTACCAACTAATCGTTGATCCAAGACCAAGTTTATCAAGCGATGGCGGAGAAAAAACCAGTTCTTAGCAATCAATAATTTTGGCAATTATTAAAACCACAAGAGATTCATTTATATACAACTATGCTTGTAATATTATAAACATCACTAACTTATGACTGAAACTTATCTCTAAGATTTTTCGTTCAATATTGCACATTTCATTCAATGTTTTGATGATACGATAAATTCGTTAAACAACCCCGAATTCAGAGTGGATCACTAGTATGGCCATGAATTTGGATTAGTCAAATATCTAAGAGCACACATAGACCCGAAAATGAACTTGACCAATATTCTTATTAATTGAAGTAAATGTTGTAAATCTTATCAAAGTTATCATCTTCTGAGTTTCTACTGAATATTCAAGTCGTATTTTTCAATAGGGCCAAAAAGCATTTCAATATTATACTGATACCAACAATAATGCTCTGTGCAAAACACATTTGAAGGACATACAGTTACTGATGTAAAACAAACTGAAATAGCTAGGCCGGCAGCCTTTTGGCTACCCAAGAAGGCAAGAATGATCTTTATTCTTGTTATTATTATCATTATTCATCTTTCGCTTCCGTAACACTCCTTGAAAGGAAACGCCACCTACTCTTTTCTTATTTGAAATGTACTATTCGCGAATTCAACTGTTGTTGAGGGCGCTGTGATATCAACAGATATGAAGCCGTTCAGTATGTGTGTTTTATCAAGTTTTTGTATTAGGTTGTGGTGGTCTAGTTCTTTTATTGGGTTATTGAAATTCACGGAAGTGTTCTGAATCACAAAAAAGTGTATGATCGCGAATTACAGAACTGCAACAGAGAAACATGGATATTAAGTTTACTGGCTCTGACTTTTTATGGAGACTTCAACAGTTATCCCTCTCTGCAAACAAGGAACAATTTCAGATTACCATATAGTGAATCTTAATTCGATGGATGATTACTTACTGGATTACTCATAAACTAGCTCCAAAGGCGCCTTAATTATTTTAAATCGCGATAGTTTGAGACTTCTGGCAAAGAAGGCGTTTTCCTACCTCTCAATGCTTGGTAAAATTGCCATTCCCCACGTCTCGGACACCATCTTCTTTAAATAGTCCTAGATGAAACTCCGAAACATAAATATCCTCTCTTACCCTCAACAGGCATAATATCCAAATCACCGAACCTCTCGTTAAAATCATCCAAATCACCGAATCTCTCGTTAAAATCATCCAATCCATTCTCATCCCTCCCGCTAGCCGCCGAGCTGTCAACAGAACTGACAGAATGTTCGCTAAACGCGCCGAACTTGTCCAATGGGCGTGTTCACCTTAGTAGAACTTTCAACTCAAACCATGTTTATACTGATCCTTCTATACATAAATAATGATTGACGACATAATTCGATCGAAAAATTAACTGGAATGTTTTATTTTTGAACATAAATAATAGTACCTTCTGAAAACGGACCCTCTCATGACGTAAAAACCTCATCTCGCCATAGTTAAAAGAAAATACCAAACGCCCGACGGAGACTGAGGCAACTGATAAATTAATTCTTGTGATCTCGCGCTAATTCACTCTGTCAGAAATCAGGTATCATTCATCTCTGTCTGGAATGATCTTGTTTCAGTATTAGGGTTTTGACGTCACATCATCGCCTCGTTTTCAGAGGTCCGAAAAATCGGGGATTTCGAATTTTTTTTATAAAACGTAGGGAGCTCACAGCAAGAAACTGTTTGCTGTGGTGAGCTAGTTTGGGTGAGCTCTATCGAATTATGAAATACAAATTTTTTGTGATATATTCCCATTCCGCACTGATATCAGGCAGGGACTGGTACTGCTTACCAAGACGTACTTCCCTGAAGGGGGAGTCTAATTCCTCAAGCCTTTTGGGTAACCAAGGAAGCTATTCATTCTTATTATTATTATTATTATCATTATTAATATGTCGCTACCGTGAACATTTCTTCAGAGGCGGTATCGCCCCCTACGTTTTTCTTACTTGGAATGTACTATTCGGGATTTCAACTGTTGTTGAGGGCGCGAAGAAATGTTAACAAATATGTAGGTCTGCGAGTAAATTTCTTCAGCCGTTGAGTTGTGTGAGTTTTTCAAGTTTTATATTTGGTCGTAGGGGCTCAGTTATTTTATTGGGTTTACGAGATTCACGATGAAGTGTTTTGAATCACGGATAGTGAGTGCGAATTACCGAACTGTAACAGTGAATAATGGATATTGAAGTTGACGACTGGCTCTGACTTTTGGTGTCTTCAACAACAATCCCTCTGTGTACAAGGAACAAATATTATAAATACCATTTGATTACTCACTGGATAACTCACAAACTAGCTCTAAAGGCGACTTGATTATTGAAATTGTGGATAGTTTAAGAGCTCTGGTGAAGAAGGCGTTTATCTACCTCTCATTGCTTGGTAAACTCGTCTCAGACATCATCGTTCTTTAATAGTCCCAGATGAAACTCCGAAACATAAACATCCTCACTCTTACCCTCAACAGGCCTAATATCTAAACCACCGAACCTCTCGTTAAAATCATCCAATTCATTGTCATCCCTCTCGCTAGCCGCGGAGCTGTTAATAGCACTGACAGAATGTTCGCTAAACGCGTCGAACTTGTCCAATTCGGCGTTGATGTCAGGCAGAGACTGGTACTGCTTGTCCAGAGGTACTTCCTTGAAGGCGGAGTCGAGTTCCGCCCCCACCCCGGGCTCTCTGGGACGCTTCAGTAGATCGTCGTCTCGTTTCCTGCCCTGCCGCTTCGAGTGGATCTCATTGGATATCTGCTCGAGGTTCTTCAGCGTTTGGGCGTAGAGGTTCTTGGCGTTGACGATCTCCTGCGCGCAACAGTTATTTTCGTGCAATCGTACGCGAAGTCACTGGATGGTATTAGATAAGAGTTCGGACACAGCTGAACTTCTATCCTCTATTTTCTATATTACAATGGTTTCAATTTCCCTAGTAGCACCTGATTTTCATATACGATTCTAGAGGATAGATTTCCTGTCAAATCAATCATAGCCGTAGATGGAAAATGGACAGAGGGTAAAAACACCCACTTCAATGTATAGCGGCACTTTTCGCAGAAAAGCAGTTATAAAAATGACAAAAATGACAATATAGACACATATGGATGGATGCAATTTACTTGATTTCCTCAGTTTCGTTCTCAAATTTTCAATTTCATTACGTACTTTTGCAATCATTTCCTCTTTCTCCATGATAGTTTTGTTTTGCATTTCGTGTAATGATCATAATGAATTCTCAAACAGCCTGTTTTGTGAATGAATGGAACAGCAGATTCTCTCAAACGGATCTGGAAATCTTCCGTTTGGAAATATGGGCCTAAAATATAGTTTCATTCTAATCTGATGTTATAAAAAGTGAACTTCAATGTAGGTATGTACCTCACAAATTTTCCATTCAGGCCGTTTCATACATTTTCTTCAGAATTCCCATAATTTATTATACAGCAGGGCATTTTCATTCATGCTTTCTTCTTAAGAGTTAATGAAATTATATTTCAATTCTGAAGTTCATAGTATTTAAAGCGCGGATCGACTATGGTGCTTTTATCACAATGCAAGGTATGTAATTAACACTTAATGAATCTAAACATTCAAAAACACTAGCAGTTGTCATTTCTGTGTCCGAAATCTCATCTAACTAATACCATTCAGTGACTCTACCTACACCGAACGCGAAGTTAACTTCGCAGTCGTTACAGCATTGTTTCAAAATGTATAATATTAAATTTGTGGAGGAATCATTTTTCTTGATTTGAAAATGTACTGTTCGTTACCTCAACGTCACGTAGTTTTTAGGCTATTAAACGTCGAATGTAACTTGATACTTTGAATGGTTACGTACAGTGACGGCTCGTCAGGGACGGCAGGGTCGGCCGGGCCGTACCAAATAATTTGGGGAAAATTACTGAACTATTTCATGAATAATAGTTATTTGTTTAACTAGGCAGCAAAGTAGTAGATTGACTGCCGTGGCTGAATTCATAGCCGAGCGTAGCGAGGCTAGGAATCCAGCTAAGGCAGTCAATCTACATTGCTGCCGAGTTGAACATATAATTTTTTCTCCGATTGTTCATAATGATATGGGAGAATATTGTATTTGCGAATTAATACAATTCCCACAATCTCTTTATTCTTCCTGTATATAGTGTTCAATTAAAATAAAATTCGATAGAAATCGCAGTTGTTGGTTTGACAATTCATGAAATTTCTGACAGTTGTGCGAAAAAATCGGTATATTTGAATTATTACATAATGGACAGTAATAGCGACCTGGAAGTATACTTACACCTCCATTAATAAGGGAGGTGGCAAAAAATATAGAGTTGAATTTGTTGCCGGAGAAGTCTCGGACGGAATATGAAGCAAATTATAAACGATTTATGGATTTTCAATTTTGCTGATACATATCAATCAGCAAAGTAACCACTTTGCTGCCTAGGCAGCAAAGTACCCACTTTGCTGCCTAGGCAGGAAAGGTAATACTTTGCTGATCGATATGTGTCAGCAAAATTAATATTTGCTGCCAATCGGAGGAAAAATTATTTTCCGAAACTGTTTTCATAATTCTTCGTTCATTATCCTACTACTATGCCACTATTATTTCAATTTCATTCACTGGAACCTTTGAGTATGCCATCCGCATATACACCGAAAATCACGAACTAATTCAGGACCTACGACATACGGTATTCCCATCGTCAAAACGCCGCTTCAAGTTGAAACGCTCGCGTAGCTCATTACACTGATGCAGACGGCCGGCCGATCGGTGGTTTCTTATCTCGACGCATCGCCTACAGATTCCCCGCTTCAAGTTTGAATTCTCGCGTATACGCGAACGATACGCGTCATACCTTGGGTGCGGCCAAGCTCTGTTGGCCGTTCCTACGTTCGTACTACGTAATATGTAATCAGTAATCAGTAGTTTGCAGTGCGCTCGCTGTGCACCGTAACCGACCATTTCGACCTAATTTTTAATATACGGATTGGCATGATTGACACTCTATTTTCATTTTACATTGTAGGTATTTATAATTTTTATTCCTATACTTATTTGTAAGTTGATGTTGAAATTAGAAATGTACAAACTGAAAAAAAATAATAATTTCGATGTTTTTGTTCATGCTTGCAGTAGTTGCAGTGAAAATGATTTTCGAATTTGCAATTTTTCAGTAATTCATAATTCAACATATCCCTCTAACATTGGTATCAGAATTTTCCTTCAGTGCTTTTGAGCGTCAATAAGTTATAATTTAATTTGAATATTGTAATGTAACCTACTGTGCCTCTGCCTATGTAGGCAAGAAAAATGTCAGCAGTCCAAGAGCTGAGTAGGTATTGAAACATCCTAAAAAAGCTCTGGTGACGAAAATGTAATAAATGTATAACTTCCAAAATATCATTTATTTCCAAAGACGCATGTAGCGGTTATAAATAATATTTATGCATCCATCGCGATACCTACGGCTGCACGGCGGGCTCGGCCAGCCGACTACGAAGGAGTGGGGTGGCTTGTTACAGGAACGGCGTAGACCGTTCGCGTGAGTGGTCGTCGGTTATGTTGATTTTTTTGAGTTTACGTTACGTTTTCAACAGAATATAAATAATTTTTGATCACGAGTTATTCTATTTTTATTTTCTTTCATTTTATTTTTTCGACTTTCTTGTTATTATTTTTTCATACCAACTAACCCTTATCCACCCTTTCCCCATTTCCCCTGGCGAGATTGCTCTAACCTCGTGGTTCTTGCTGGACAATTTAATTTTTTGGTTATGTGTACATGCTTTATTTGCCATCGAACTTCCCAACGTGTTACGTTCGCATTTCTCTCTTTCATTTTAATCCAAAAAATGAAGTTGACGAACTAGAGCAATATCTATACCCTGGCCGACCCAGGTTCTGAGGGCACGAGCCGTCACTGGTTACGTACCATAATTTCTGGCAGTAAATAAGATGTCGAAGTTTCAGGACTACTTAGACAGATATTGCCAGAATTTTTCCAGAAGTTGAACTACTGACATTTGCATAACTTATCTTAATCATTTTATCTTTTTAATATTTGAAATAACTCATATTTCGAAGACTGGAACCTTTGACACGATAATACACTACACATTTTTACCACTAACCAGACCGATTTTTTTTACACCTCGGCATGTGTTTCGCTAACTATGTCAGCATCTTCAGGGGAAGATTTGAACTGAATGCTCTATCTTATTGGCTACTTATATACAAGTATATGTCCACCCAACCCTGTATATACAATAACCGCCATCGGGTGGGTGGACATATACTTAGTATATAAGTAGCCCACTAGGATAGAGTATTTAGTTTTAATCTTCTCCTGAAGAGCCAGGTAGACAGGTAGTCGTGCGGACAGTGTCAATATTCTAATCAGTATTCGCTTGCCGGTCGGCGATTTTACTAAATATACTGCTTGCTAGCACAAACCACGCCCACCATAATACGTCATATCTCTAAACATTACCGATATACTCGGAGTCAGCACATCGTACTAAATATACTGTGCTCCAACGCAAGAATACACTTTTCATGATTTTGACACGAATTCGACTGAAGCTCTCTCGTTGTCAATCTCTTGTACACAATAAATTCATATACCCAAATGGTCTACTGGTTAGCGATGTCGACTTTCAGTCTGAAGGTCCATGGTTCGAATCGCTGTGAACTTCAACCTTTTTTTTGCAACTTTTTTTTCACCAATGTTTTTTTACTTCATTCTGGTTGTCCTTTTCCATAAAATATTCGAAGTCAAATAGGTTAGTGCGTTTAGGATAGACAGTCTCATTTTATTCAATTTTGTTGAACAACTCAACTTTTGAAATATATTATTAATCAATGTGTTTCTACACTCCATTCGGTTTTCCTTCCTCAAAAATATTGCAATCAGGGATAGGTTAGTTCGTTAAGGATAAATAGTCTCTGAGTTTTGCCTAAGAAATTCGAAGATGAGATATCACGGTGGGCGTGGTTTGTGCTAGCGTACAGTATATTTAGTAAAATCGCTGCCGGTCGTGGGTTCGATTCCCATCGACTGCAGAAATTTTTCTGATGGTCCAAGACTTTCGAAGACTTCTGAGGGTTGCTCGTAAGGGGGCAACCGAATGACGGATAGAACAATTTTAGAAGATGCTAACATAGTCAGCGAAACAAATGTCGAGGTGGGAAAAAAATTTGTTTGGTTAGTGGTAAAACAGTGTGTAGTATTCAAGATAACTCATATAACTGATATCCGACGTTCAATTGGTCAAAAACGGTATGAGGTAGGAATGTTGAAAAAAGGCAGAAGACAATCATTTTTGAAAATAAATATTATTTTTTATCCCTTGGTATATTCACGCACTGTACTTTTGATAGTATTTTAACGAAATTAAGTCATAACTACATCAACTTTCGTTTTTATCTAGAGGCATTAAAAAAGATAATGGATGAGTAATTGATAATGAGTAACCGTGTATCATCTTCAGAAAAACTTCTCCATCAAAACGACAATAATAAATTATGAGGACAGTCATTAAATTTAGAAAAAATCATAATGAAAATGATCAATACAATGAGGAGAAATGCATCATAACAGAAGAAATTGATTATGATGAGAAAAAGGTCAATATAATGGGAAAAAAGGCAATATAACAACAAACATTTCATGATAATGACCACTTTTGGCGTGTGTGGATCCCGTAAGTCATTATAATAATTGGATAAAATTATTATCATGAGAAAAAAGTAATTGCTCACGATGTGAGAAGTCCTTGAATTTTTTTTTGCCACCACTATAATACCTACCACTATTGACTCCTTTTCAAGGCGTGAAGTGTTTTCTCTACCACTTTTTGTCTTTTTATGCCGAATTCACGGTTCTGATGCGAGATTCGCAGAAATGACACTAGAATCTATTAGGTATTTATCAATAATGACTTGTCATATTGGCCAGTGTAGCCTCGTGGTTGAAGCGTCAGTATTCTATCCACGTTAGATTGCCGGTAGGTGGGTTCGATTCCCACCACGACCGCAGAAATTTTTCTGATGGCCTAAGAAAGTGTTTATGATCACAACTTGAAAGGTGAGACCCCTGTCATTCTTTGTTCCTACAAGTCTCTTGAAGACTTCTCTGAGGGTTGCTCATAAGGGGCCAAACAAATGATGGAAGAGGACAATTTTAGGACAAGAATATTATGCTACTACATTTCAATAATTAGAATTGAAAAAAGTGCTTTCATAGTGATAGAAAGTCCATATTTCATTTTCACAGTACTAAAATGATTGAAAAATATATCGCTAGAGGTGAAAAAAAGTCAATATACACCTTGGTAGTAAATAATAATATTACTACCGTACCTTATATCTCTCGGCTCGAAGAAATTTTATCCAAAAAACGTGAGAAAATATATCAAGGCGGATTTCCACCAAACAGATACGGCGAGTCGCTGTTTTGTTTCCAAAATTTTATCTTTATTTAGATAAACCCTGCATAACTATTAGTATACTGTTCCCATATTTGGAGTGCAGCACCCAATTATACTCTGAAACTGTTGGATTCTGTCCAAAAAAGGGCAATTCGTCTCGTGGGTGATGCCTCGCACACAAACTCGCTCACTTCTCTGGAACACCGTAGAAAAGTTGGCGATATGGCTCTATTTTTTAAATATTTTCATGGACGATGCTCTTCTGAAATATCAACAATTGTCCCTCCCTTGGCAGTCCCCGCGAGATTAACCTGTCGAGTTGAGGCTTTGCACCCCTCCGTGGTCACTTTGGAGACCTGCAGAACATCTCTTTCCAAAGACTGGTTCATTCAACGAACAGCGAGGCTCTGGAACACATTACCAAGTGAGGTGTTCCCCGAGGCATATATCCTCCAGAAATTTAAGAACAACACCAATTCCTACCTGATTTCCCTTGGTTCTCACGATGTTCTCTGAACATTACAGGATATCCCTTTTCGTGGGAACCAGAACATAAAAAAAATACAAGCTATATATATTTTTTTCCAAATAATTAATCAAAACAATGCTATGGAGGCATTTATGGGTCAGGCCGATAATGATTCGCTATTTCAATTATTTTTCTTCTCAGGATTGGCCAGAAATTTTCAGTTTCTCGCGCCCAGGGAGCGAGGCGCCATACTACCTCGCTATGGTGCTATGGCTAGACTCTAGCGTACAACAAAACATTCATGTTACTCCGAAAACACAACAAAAACTATTGCCAGCGACACCTCACAGTTCAAATTGTTTCTAAAATGCAATGAAAAGTTGTGTTTTTTTTTAAATCCACACGCGTTTTTTTTTAGTTGCTGTTTACCCGTTTGGTAGAAATCCGCCTTTAGGGGTTGAATATTTCAACCCCTTCCCAGCATACTTTAGGGTTAAAAACATTCCAAAATGTGTGGTTTTACTGACAATAGTTATTTATTATACAAGGGAAAAAAGTAGTAGATTTTAGCTCCAGGTTGTGTTGTCTCCCGACGCGTAGCGGAGGGAGACAAAAAACCGTGAGCTAAAATCTAATATTTTTCCCGTGTATAATAAACTATTTTTTTCTGTGACAGAAGGAAGGACGAATCAATATTGGGAAGATATTACATTATTTCGAAATCTGAAAATTATCGACGTGAAATTTCAAGTTTTTAACAGTAGGGACACCTGCGTTTTATAGACATCTTCATCATTCTTTTGAAGTAATCAAATATCTGATGTCACTTCTGTCAGTTCAATTCTGTGATTTGATTTTAAAAAAATGCGAATTCAGTAGTTGTTTAGTAATATACGAAACTGCGAAGTCGAATGGAAGATAAAAGGACTTGCAGTTCTTTCTCGGAGACGGTATTATATTGACTTATTTTTCGGAACTATAGCACAACAAAAGCCATTAACAGAGTATATATATGTGATATATATCCGGGAAAGAAGTACTCACTTTTTTCCCACGGGAAAAAAGTAATTTATGAAAAGTGACATTTTATAACCTGCCAACAGAGATGAAATGCCAAACTTTTTTCCCGTCACAGAAAAAATAATATTTCGTCGCCCTAGAATAATAAGATTCTATGTGCTTTTTCAACCAAAATTGAGATTTTGGTATACTAGGGTTCAATCTGCTGAATTCTTCATTTTGAAGGGAACGTTTGTCTCTGAATTCATTGTAACAACATCCTAACTACATCATTCAGTTTATCATGGTCCTATCTACATCCAGATAGAACTTTGATTTATCAAACCAATACATATACGTCTTTGTTATCCTAGTTCATAATCATTAAACATTCACAGTCATATTGAGAAGTACATATGAATTGAACTGATTTTTGTTCTCCTTTATCTTTCATCAACAATTTGAAAGCAGTGAATAAAATAGGCATAATGCATCTAATAGCTGAAAGTTTCCGATTTCAAAGATTCTGAAAGTTGGGCTAAGAACATCCAATACAGACATGGTCCTTTTTCTCAAGTTGCTGCATTGATAGGAGGAAAATTAGCTTCCTCATATAATTTTATTAAGAAAAGGCGTATATTATTGTATATGTGTCAGTTAGAACCTTGTTGAATTACTTAAATAGAATATTCTTCTGGAACAAAGTTCTATTCACATTTTAGATATTCAAATTGACATTTTTTTGAGAATGAAAGAAGGGACAACATTGACTCACAAAAACTAATTTGAATTCTTCTGGAACAAAGTTCTATTCATATTTTAGATGTTTGAATCGACATTTATTTGAGAATGGGAGAAGGGAAAAATTAACTTACAAAAAGTAATTTGAATATACTCAATCAGAACAAAAAATCGGATCGATTGAAATGACAGGAAATAGATGAAGTCAAAAGTTCACAGCACAATTCTGGCAACTATACTTGGCCCAGATAGTACTGTATTATTCTAGGACGACGATTTACCAAGTTTCGTGTCTTTAGCTTGATATACAGGAGAAATGAAAAAGAAAAACCTTATTTTTTATTTTGAGAAGGGTGTTACTTTTCCGAGGGAAGGTTTTTCAAAAAAATATACCAAATGACCACCTTAAAGAATCACCCCTTAATTTTTCCCGATGTTATTTAGATACACCCTGTATAACTATTATTATAAAGAGAAGTGTACCTGCTTGATGGTACAGATGCGTGTTTTCTGCGTGTTCAGCTGGTCCTGGCAGAGCGCCTTCTCGTCGAAGTAGGCGCGGGATTTAGATATCTGCTTCTGCAGCTTGTCCTCCAGCTGCTTCAGCTTATCTTCGATCTCCTTGAAGACCACAGCTTTGCGATGGTGGTCTCTGCCGCGTTCGGCCTTTTCGTTTTCTGCCTCGGTTACCTGTTTTCAAACGTCAACGTTTTCGGAATGTCGGCCTAAATGTCTATTCTTATGAGAAGCTAATGGCTTGGTCATTATACAAGAAAAGACAAAAGTTACTTCTTCACCCTTAACTCCTCAACGCCCTGTGGCGAAAATTCGAGATTGAAATTGGCTTAATCATGTTCTGGATGAAGTGTGATCTCTTCTAAACACAATGGTTTATGATTTACATCCGTAGGACAGTGACGGCTCGCCAGGGACGGCAGGGTCGGCCTGGCCGTACCAGAAAATTTGAGGAAATTAGCCATCCGAATATTCACCGAAAATCACGAACTAATTTAGGACCTACGACATCTGGCTATACCATCGTCAAAACGCCGCTTTATCAAACTTTTACTTTTACCAGTGATGTCCTCGTAGACCTGATATTGAATGTTTAGTTTAAATAAACGCTGTACGCTTCTGATTTCAACACCCTGTAGCTCAAAAACTAAGAGGTTCAGGACATATTATTATGTTGATATGAACTTCTCTCCTTAAAATCATCCAAGGATCATCGCCCTTTAGGATCAGCATTCAATTATGAAACACCCCGTATATTTGCCAGTGAAGTGCTAGGGTGACAACATTCTGTATTATATTGTATTATACTGTCTATATAAATACCTGTACTTGCATTACTGCTCATCCTATATTAATATTCTAGTTCTACCTAAATCATGACTTGTCACAAACATCTCAAAATTTGTAATGTGATAAATCTATTCTATTCTAATCTAACATGGCAAAACAAATTTCAGCAGTCTGGTGATGAGAATGTAAAAAACTTCTAGAATATTATTTATTTTCATAGAGGCATGTAGCGGTAACAAATAATATGTATGAATATATGCCTCTACCGCCTGAAACATTGACCATACTCGGAGGTACGGCCGACCGACCATGGAGTATGTTGAAGTGGTTGAATAATATATTGCACACCGAGTTGGGAAGTGATTCATTTCTGTCGTGAGATTAGTTAGTTAACCGAGACGCAAAGCCTCGAGGCTAGCTATAATCTCGAGACAGGAATGAAACTCCCTACCGAGGTTTGTATACTATTTTAATTACAACCATCATATTTCGATCAAAATTAATAAATCTATGTTTCGTTCTGAACATACCTGAATTATTACATGAGTGAGGGCGGGAAGTAGTGAGGGGCGGGAAGTAGTGAGGGGTGGGAAGTGAGGGCGGGAAGTAGAGGTGTGTAATGTGACACTTCCCAACCTTCAATGACGTTAGTAATGACAACATTACAGCACTAGAGGTCATTTTGGATCTCACACCTCTACACATCGTGGTAAGGAGAACTGCCTATGGAGCACATCTCAGGTTAGCCAAGGTCGGACTAAGAGGGACAACGCACAGTGTAAGGGGCTCACCCCCCACTGAGATCGCACACCTCGCCGATCTTCCAACAGACCAAACCATTAAGTTCAGTTTTGAGAAGAACTTCCGAGTGGAGCTGAGCAACAAGCGCGAATGGAGCACAGAATCCATCGAATCACTGGGAAGGAACACCATTACTTGGTAAACGGACGGGTCTAAAACACCCGAGGGAACTGGAGCAGGAGTCTTTGGGCCTCGCACCAAATACTTCGAATCCATGGGACAATTCCCCATCATTTTTCAAGCGGAAATACACGCCATAGAAAGATGCATCCAGTTCAACCTAGACAGGAAATACCGGAAGAAGGACATCGCGATTTTATCCGATAGCCAAGCAGCCATCAAAGCGTTGAGCTCTCCCTACATCAACTCGAAGATGGTATTGGAATGCCTAAGCAAATTGAATGAGCTAGGCAGCAACAATAAAGTTATCCTCCTCTGGGTGCCAGGGCATATCGGAGTGGAGGGGAATGAACAAGCAGACGCTCTGGCACGACAAGGGGCTTCAACGCCACTGATCGGACCAGAGCCATTCTGCGGCCTTGGAAATTCCTATTTCCAAGGAGAACTTGAGAAGGCGGAAGGAGCCTGGAGAGCCAGACAATGGAGAAGACTTCCAGGACTACGGCAGGCTAAAGATCTTGGAAATTTCAACCGAGAAAGATCTAAGACACTGGCAAACCTCAGCAAAGGAAGTCTCAAAGCAATAACGGGATTTCTAACGGGGCATTGCGGACTCAAAGAACACCTAAGGAAGCTAGGCTTACAGGAGGACGGCACCTGCAGATTCTGTGAGGAAGAACCAGAAACACCCCATCACATACTGGGAACACACCAGCTGACTGTGGAAGAAATACCACAGCTAGACCCCCTCAAAATCCTCAAATTCCTGAAGGAATTGAATCTCGAGGGGGTGCTATGAACAAGAAATCCTTGATATAGAACGAGTAGATGGGGCACAATAGATCTAATTAGGTCGCAGCGCATCTGTCACCATCCAACCTACCAATACCAATACCAACATTACATATATGGTTGTTGGTTGGAGCGTGAGAGAGGAAGCATGATCTGGTGAGCTATTTATTATCATGTCAATAAAAATAACACAAAAATAAGTTGATGTTATTAGAGCAACATCTACCCTGACCAACCCTGGTTCTGGGGGCACGACCGTCACTGCCATAGGACATAGAAATGTCAAGTCAACTTTGACAAAAGAAGCTCTTGTGTAATTATAGGTGAAAAAAGTAACTATAACCCTTTATATCACGCCACTAGACACAATATCTGATTTATAGCCGAAATTCGGAGATCTAAAATAGAAGATTGTTTCATTAGGATCAGAAGTGACACTTTGTTTGACAAGCGAATTTTGCATTATTTGCGAGGCGGAGCGTCAAGCGGAGCCCAGCGAAAGCAAAATTTGCGAGTCACACGAAGTCACTTGATCCGAATGAAACATGCTATTTTTCTGCAACCGCAAGAATTAACTCAAATAAATATGTGAAGTAACCCCCAATGTGACTTCATTGACAGATTATTATAATACCATGCACTAATTCAATACCCGAAACGTGGATGCCGTGCCATATGTTTGCAATGCAACAAATAATCCGTGTGGTGGGAATATTTCTACCTGCATTTTACCTGCATTTACAGTATTCGATTTTCAAGGATGTTCTAATTGTAGTTTCAATATGAATACAACCACAAAGTGACCCATTTTTGTATTCTATTGAATCGATGAATTAATGCGGAACAGGTGTTAGCCCTAATAACAAATACCATGCCAGTGGCAGGTAAAGAGAAAATAAGTTTAAAATGTTAGGTTACTGAGCATATCAACAATAATAATAGCGATTATTCATTTCTCTCCATATTCCACTGTGTTCGGCTTGGTTATCAAATGAAGGTAAAAAATATCGTTGTGAGACAAAAAAAGTTTTGCTGGCCGTGATTATTCAAAAACAAGTTTTCCAATGAATCAGATCCCGAGAATAACGAATGAAAATAAAGAAATACAGATCGAGCACGTATGTGAATCTTGAAGGATTTCCTGATAGAAACAAAAATACTCAACTATAAAATGGCGTTTTTTTATCTCCACCATGGGTATGAAATACCAAATCTGCCGAAATCGGGCAAATCAGATATTCCTCCCAACCCAAATAACCAATCATAACAATATTATTTATTCTTGATGATCCTTTTTGGTACCTAGGAGCTAAAGTTCAACTTTAGCTCCTAGGAACTGAGTGTTGCCTAGCAACATACCTATGTTTGTCAGTAGTAGAAACGTCAATTCAAGTGCTGATTTTGGTATAAAAATGGACGAATTTTGTGTTGGTGTTGCAGAAAAAAAGTATTTACCAAATGAAGAATGATCTTAGTAAGACAATTTTGTAGGATTCAATTTTTGTATTTCAATACCTGTAACTTATCAAAGTTTATCAAATCAAATCATATTTGAACTTTCAACTACATTTTACAAAGTATGCAACTAACTTTATACTACATTTGACAAGTATGCAACTGTTTAATGGGGTCATAATAAATAATTCAATTTCTTAATAATGCATAATAATAATTGGTATTGGGCACCCATTGATTTCTCAGAAAATGTATTTTCTGATAATAAGTTCTGCTTTCTAAGAGAACAATATGCATTTTTCAATGTTATTTGATGCACCTGCATTTTATTTGAGAGTAATTTTCAGTTTTAAATTCTGAATAACTATTCTACTTTAGATGGAAGGAAAAATAATGGAGCTGTGACAAATTTTCAACAATCAAAATTTGGTAATGGAGTTTTGAAATATTTTATCAGAAATTAAAAATACAGATTCTAGAAAAATTGAGACATCTACTGTAAAATTTGCCATAATTTGTCTCAACTATTATATATTATGACATATAATTACCAGCATTCAACTACCTATATTTTATATTGTTTTTCTAAGAGTGAACTAGTCAATTTTGTTAGTCCAGTTCTCCAAATAATCAACAGATGTTTAGTAATAACTATTCCAGCATGTATCATATCATGTATGTGTAATTATGGAAAATTGTTCAATTCTAGGAATTTTTAAATAATCACCAGAAAGCCTAAGACATACAAAAATATTTTTAAAATCAATGTTTTCAGTTTGAAATTTCATTTGTTTAAAGATCACATCACTAATAATTGTTAGCTGTGATTCTGAATCCCAAACCATGCACTTATAACAAAATATTTATGATTTAAAAATAGAACTTGTGAGTATATCCTACTTCAAGGTTGACACATCAATTCAATGTTATTTCATGTCTGTTTAAATATGATGATTAATATAATTATTGCCAGTTCATGGTCAAGAAATCTGAATAAAATAAAAATGAATACATGGCAGCCAAAGGTGAATGAATAATAATCATCAATTTGCATTGTCTTACTTTCATAGTTGCATGGTTGAGCATTTCTTGCCAAGCATTATCAAACTGCCATTCATTCTTATTTGACATAAACTGTTGCTCTGCCAAAGCAACAGTCTCTTTAGCTGCAGCATGAATACCTTGAAAAAAAATATTCAGATGCAATTGAGGAAAATGTGTCAGGAAAACAATACCATGAGCCTTTTTATACAGTGCAGCTGCCTCTTGACATTCTAGTTGAGCCTTCTTTGCCTCTTCAAAAAGTTCATAATATGGCCTGGCTTTATCTATACAGTTGCCTAGTTTTTTGGATAGCACTTTAAGCCTCCTTGTACATTCACTGAGTAACATTCTAAATGTCTTGTTTTCCTCCTGAAATCCAAATAGTTTGAAAACACTTGAGAACATAAGCATCAATAAGGGTAGACCTTGTCTGGGCATGTTCTTTGGCCCATCTCAGGTCTTAAGAGTTTCAGTAAACATTATATATGAATAAATGTTTCATATGAGAACTAAATAGGTTCCAAATAATTGCACTTGTTTCTAAATTCTCATACTTACATCATACTCAATTTCCAGTTTATTAATCTCATCAGTAGTGGTATTTAGTATTTCCAATTCAATTTGAATTCTTGGGTCTAACTCTGAATCTTCTTCAGACTCACTCATGTTGCTATCCCACTGGATATCAGAATATCAGCTACTGAAAAGTGCTGAAATGTTCAAGACAAAAAATAAAATGAAATTAATTCATGATTTATTTGAATTAAACTTTTTTTGATATCACTTGATGAGAAGCTTTCCTCCAAGTCTATTAGCAATAGGTCATTGAATTGAATAAGCTAAACATATCATTTGGAAAATCTATGTAGGTGAAAGGTGATATACCTGCATACCTGATTGAATGATTTGAATATATTCACATTTATCTCTGGGATGATTTTGAAAACCAGCATAAAGAAGTTGTTACCATTTATATCGTATCGAATTATTCACATTTTCACAATACACATAATTCATTTTCAACATCAAAACAGAAAATAAACCTGACATAAAATAATAATTATTGTGTTGTCATTTTTATTAAGATAAAAATAAAAAATACAGATGTCATGTCACATGTCACAAAGAGACTTTGACGTCATAAGACGTGCCAACTGCGAATGTCAATACTATGTCATTGTCATTAGTGTCATATAATTTGTGATTGAACAAGATTGATGAACTAGTCTGGTAACTTTTCAATGTGTTCTGACGTCACTGATCGTGATTCGAAGTTATTTTTCAATCTCTTCAATCCCTACTAAAGTTGATCTTTTTCCCATAGTTTTCTCTGTTCCTGCCATGATGTAAACAAAGAAAGTCATAGAAAAAAATCAAGTTTAGCAGGTTGAGCAAGCGCAAACGAACACTCGAACAGGCCTATTGGTCAGTCGTCACTCGTCAGTGTCAGTACTTTCTTGGTCAGTACCCAAGTCAGTACCTAGTACGCCACTGTCGTGACAGTGACGGGTAGTGACGGTTTGATTTTGATTTGAAAATTTGTATTTGTTGATGAGTTGTTTACCTTTTGCATTTTTGCATTTTCGAATTCAACTTTTCAACGGTTGATATTGGTGATAGGTTCGCAACAATCGCCATAGAAAAGGCTCAGAGATTTCTTGGTTTATAAAAGTAGTGTGTTGATAAGTTTTACGATCTAAAATATGTTTGCTTCCACAAAATTCACCCCAACACCAAGAAAACTACAAAGAGAGAAAACTACATTGTCCACAAACTCCGATTCGGACAAAGAACCTGTTCATGTTTATTGCCGTTTAAGGCCTCTCAAATCCAGTGACTCAGATCAGCCCTCCATGAAGTTGTTGTCTCCTAATGAAATATCTGTTGTCACTGAAGCCAAGGGTATCAGGAAGGAAATGTGTTACAAATTTAAACATATATTCACAGCATATTCCACTCAGAAAGAAGTATTCGAACATTTAGCATATCCTTTATTAGAGGACCTACTAAAAGGGAGGAATGGCTTGTTATTTTCTTATGGAGTTACAGGCTCAGGAAAAACTTATACTCTCACAGGAAATCAAGAGAACCCTGGTATTATGCCACGTTGTATAAACACAATCTTCAATTCAATTGGAGAACTACAGGCACCAAAATTTATAATCAAGTCAGACAGAATGAATGGCTTTGAAGTACAAACTGAGGATGATGCCCTTCATGATAGGTTATCAGAAATTCGGAACTTGGCAAGAACACCTAAGAATCAAAAGAAAATGAATGATGATAAAACTGTTTTCTCAAATGAGGGATCAAGAATTGCACTAATAAATGACAATAGTTTGTTTGCCATCTTCATCACCTACATTGAAATTTACAACAATAATGTTTATGATTTACTGGATGAATCAGGTAATGGCAAAAGTTTGCAAAATAAAATTCTAAGAGAAGACAGTCAGAGGAATATGTATGTCAATGGTGTAACAGAAGTGGAAGTCAAAAGTGCTCAAGAAGCATTTGAATTATTCAGTGCTGGACAGAAAAAAAAGAAAATGGCACACACCACATTGAATGCTGAATCCAGCAGAAGCCATTCTATTTTTACTATAAGAGTAGCACAACTAGAACAGGTGACTCTTAATGAGGATGGAAAACCAATTATCCCAGAAAAAAATGTGCTGACTGTATCACAATTGAGTCTTGTTGATTTAGCAGGATCAGAAAGAACCAGCCGTACACAAAATACAGGAGATAGGTAATTAAATTTTCTTCCTCAATATTTTCCCACAGTTATTTTATCCATATTATCTTTGAAGAGCACAAGTTTCTATTTTTCCAATTTCAAAGGTCTGGTCAATGTGACTGTCATAGATCAAGAGAAATCAATGGAGATCATTGCATGAGGTGGAGGTAGCAGTGTAGGTAATAATGGATGTTATTTCAAAGACAGGTACATTATTATATCAAAATAGGTGCCTATCTCTGAGTAGTACTTTTTAAATTAATTGGTATCTATCAAAAGATAAGTGTTAGTTAAACTTGTTATAAAAAACAAAAACTACTCTTAGAATCCTCACCAAACTGAGAAATAACTCTCTCTATTTTTTTAGAAATAAGAAAATCATTTTTAAAATATCTAACAGAATACAACTATTTTCCTGCCTAATAACACTGAATAATCAATTATATCTTTCAATTATTGGAAACACTAGAGGAAATACCTAATTCAAGATATATTAATGTAGAATTACTATTCTTTGAATATTCAACAGAAAGGGTGAATATATAAAAATATTTCACACTTAAAATTTAAGAATTTGAGAAGCTTATTGGCTGAAATCTGTTGGATTATTCAAAAGAACCAATCAGCATTCAGAGATTCTTAAATATTAAATGATAAATATTTTTATATATTCACCCTTAAATATATTATATCTAATTCTGAGAAAATATATTCTCTATTATAACATTTATTGAAGAATAGTTATCTATTTGAATCATTATCTAGAATCAGTTAGGATTGAATGGATAAAATATGTTTAATGGAAATATTTTACTCATCAAAAAACAATTATATTCCTAATTCAGGATGGCATCTCTAACACACATATCCTCTATGATTTGTTATTGACTCAACATCATTTCATGCTCATCTGCTCTTGTCAGAATCAGAAATGATGAAACTTGGGATGAAATCAACAAATTTTGATACATTCATTCTTTGATTGATGAAATAGGAATTGTTCAACATTCCTTGTCATAATATTGATATTATAATATAAGTTGACCTGGCAGCTCACTGTGTATATTATTAATAATAGTAATGATATTCATTTCATATTGTAAGAGATACAGAAACAAGTGGTTCAGGTAAGTCAGACAAAAGGAATTACATCAACAAAAAAGGTAGAGAAAATCATATACAATATATGTATATATTTTTTATTTATTTATATTTTATAATACTGATTATGATAGTTTATCATGGGTTATTTACCCTAATAAACCTAGCAGATCCACTTCAATATTTCATTTTTGCAATAGTGCTATAATTTGTTACTAATTTAGTACTAATTTATTACCATATTTAGGAATTTTTTACCCTTAATTTAACAGAAAAAACCAATGGCTCTGCTAGCTTCATATCAACCTAGCAGAACCATAGCTGAAAATTATTTTTTTCAAACTTCAAATATACCATAATTTATTACTAACTTATAACTAAATTCAGGAAATTTTTACTAATCATTCATTGAAGAAAAACAATCTGTCTTATCTCACAAATCACATTTATTTTGAAATTCTCTAGGAAATGCTATTGAGTCCTCAATAAGTTACTAATTTGCAAATTTATAACCCCTCTTTTAACAGAGAAAAAAAACGACGGCTCTGCTAGTTTAATGTCAGCTAAATACTCTCTAAAAATTTCTTCTTGAAAACTTCAAATATACCAGAGATACCACAGTTAATTGCTATTTTATTACTAAATTATAAATATAATCACGAATTTTTTACTCATCATTCCATGGTAAAAAAACGAGTAAAAAACGTCGATTTGTTATCTTGGTCCCATCAGAGAGGATGCATTGAATTGAGAGATTAATTAAATGGTATTTCCACTAACAAGTCATTTGAGTTTCTGTTCTGCGACGATTTTCTTTTATAAATGGAAATTGGCATATCCTTATGTGAAAAAAGGGTTTCATTTTCGACAGGTTTTACACCCAAATCACACTTTTGACAGAATAATATGAATAACATGAGACAAAGACAAGGATTAGTTAGATTATATCTAAGAAATGCAGGATACTAACACCAACCATAACAGAGGGATGACCAAAACAAGATGTACAACTATTACTAGTGCATATAATCTTACAATTTATTATGTGCCGGTTTGGAACCCCGCCACTGGTGTGCGATAGTTGGCGAGGGGTGCGCGAAGTGAGGTGAAAGGGAATGTACGAGACTGAGAAGGACTGGTCATGTAGGGGGTAGGGTTAGGGTAGGCAGTGAGTCGCAAGCGTTGAGATAGAGTGTTACACTCCGCTGCGATCACACATTTTTCTTTCGTACCTATTTGTTTGGCCATAGTTGGCATGATTATTGTTGAGAAACTGTGTTTATAATTTAATAAAGAAATCTGATAATTACTCGCATATTCGATACCTTTTTTCGAATCATCTCACGACCCACTACATTGGCACCCAACTCGAGGCAGAGGTATCGATATTTGCGAAGTGGAAGTTGGATTTTTGGATGCGAAGAAGACGGGGTATTATCACGTATTATGCAGTTGAAATATAATCTACGACGATTCAACGAGGTGGCGAGATTGTAAGGACCGCAGGACGCAGGTAAACAATAGGAAGCGGGACTGTTTACAAGACATGAAGTCGACGGCTGGACGGCGGGAAGCGAGAGTTGCGTAAATGGTAAACAACGGCGGCAAGACAGAGATACCGACAGTAGCAGGTAGCAGGTAGAGAGACCTCTTCAACAGTGGTGTCGCAGAAGCGGTGAGATCAGTCCATGACTATTATTATTGAACATTGCGATAGGGTTTAGCGAATTGACAATAATTCTATTAGGTTTAGTATCAAAGTTATAACGGCTGGTTAATTATTGTAGTTATCATGCCCAGGCATAGTAAAAAATCTACCGGAGGTGTAAAGGGGGATGTTTCTAAAGAGGATGAAACAGAGTTGACGAGTGAGGATGTGGATGATATGCCATTGAATTTGAACAGAATTCTAGATAAACTTACGAATGATATGTGTCGATTACAAAAAACCGTTGAAAATCTATCATTGAAAGTCGATCAAGGGCAAGCCTGTAATAAAAACCAGACGATTGCGACACCTCAGCCTGTACCGATTATAGTAAATCAATCGGCAGTAGAAGTTGATAAATCTTTCATTTTAAATTGGCGGGAGTTAGGGGGGTCGGCTCTCACATTTTACCCAGATGGAAAAATTCACCCTATGTTATTTTTGCGAAAATTGAAAAAGATTTTTGTTGAAGCGGGCGTCCCGGAAATGGCTAGGACGGGTCTTGCTATAAATTGTCTTCGCGGCTCGGCGGCAGACTGGGTGGTACATAAGGAACAATCTTTCACAAGTTTTCAAGACTATGAAGATGCTTTTAAGGATAGGTTTTGGGGGGTGGAGAAGCAAAGAGAGTTATTTTTAGAGTTGAATTATGGTAGATTCGAAGGAGAGAGTAGAGCGGACTATTTTTTGAATCTGATACAGAAGGCAAATTTTTTGACGGAACCTATTTCAGAAGAAAAGGTGATAGAGATGATAGGGAAACATTTCGCGGTAGAAATCCAAAGAGGAATAATTGTACAGGGGCTGAAAACGGTTGACCAAGTGGAAAATTATTTAAGGAAATTAGACGAAACATTTATAAGGGAACCTCCGAGACGTCGCATAAATAATTATCAAAATAGGGTTGTGGAAACTGCAAGAAATGTGCAAGGGCGAGAAGAAATAACTAGAAATAGTCATCCTAACACTGATAGGGTGCAAACAAATCGTCATTGGGATAATAATGAAAATCCACACGTAAATTTGATAACACAATTCAACCAAGATCCAGTGGATCTATTAACAGATTCTGATGAAGAATTAGTATTGAATGGATCTGAAATTTCGGCACCGGTTATTATAGCAAGGGTAGGTACCCAAGAAGTAGATATTTTACTAGATAGTGGTAGTGAAATATCAGCAATATCCGAACAATTCTACGAGGGCTTGAAACAAGAATTAGATATAGCAACCCTGCCCGTTACTAATATGTCCATTGTCGTAGCCGTGGGGGCTAAAGTACAGAAGGTTACGAGACAGATCATGTTACCCATAAGGATAGGGCAGATAGCTCAGGAAGTTTGTTGTTTGGTAGTGCCAAAATTGAATCGGGGGGTTTTACTAGGATTTGATTGGTTGCGGAAATCACAGGCTGAACTGGATTTCAGGAACATGACTTTGAATTTCATAGTTGAGGGTAGTAAGTACTAGGGTCCCTTGATGGAAATTGACATTAAAGTCATCTTAACAGGGTACGGACAGATCCTCGTCTCCTCTCACTCTAAAGTGTTTGTGAAACAGGTATATAGTTCCATCCTTATTCAATTCTGGGGATAAACACTAGATTTTTGACATTCGTTGTGTTTTAGGTTATATTGAGGTCACTGGCGTATCATACGTAATTTCCATATGGAATTCCTGATTCAACTATACCAAGATATAGATGAACAATCCTCTAGTTTTAGAGTTTACTACTCCAGCATAATCTTTGCGATCCAGGGATCATATAAATTGTACTGAAAGCTCAATATACTTCACCCAAAGAAACTGTTCTTAGACTGCATGTATACCAGGGTTGACTGAATTGACTGAATGAATTCTGATTTCAAGCTCAGCAGTAGTCTAAATATATTTTCAGAAATCCAACGCGGAGAAGACTTCATGGAGTTACTAATATCACACTATGTACAATTCGTCCAGGACGAAAAGTAGACTGATGAAAATTAATACGTAAAATATGCAGGAAAATAAGGAATATAGAATATACTTCACCCCCATACTATACACATGATTTTACCGTCTCTTTTAAATGAAAAGTCATTTTCGAATAATTTATTGATGAAAGTAACAATAAAAAAGTAGGTATGCGCTAAGTATACGCAGTATAACTTATAGGCTTTTTATTTTCACTCTTGCATCTTTATTACATAATTTTCTATTTGTG